ACTAAGTTTGCTCGTGAATCGTGAGACCTAGGCAACCTAGTACTCTGATACCAACTTGTCATGACCCAGAATTCCCACAATCGGGACCGTGATGACACCTAACATTTCACTTGCTAGGCAAGCCAACGTTAGAGAATTATTAAACCAAATCCTTATTTCTTTTCAGTAAATAACAATAATTAGCTAAGATGAAATATAATAAGTGTAAAATAATATAAAGGCTGTATTAATTACTACCACCCGAATCTGGAGTCACAATTCACGAGCATTCTAGAATCCACTACAAGTAATAGTCTGAAAGAAATACAACTGTTTGAATGAAAGAAACAGTAGAACAAAAAAGATAGGCGGGGACTTCAAGGTCTGTGAACACCGACAAATCTACCTCGAGTCTCTGGATAGCGGTCCAACAACTAAAATCTCGATCAACCCGAGCTGGTACCAAAATCTGTATAGAAAGTGCAGAGTGCAGTATCAGTACAACCGACCCCATGCACTGGTAAGTGTCGAGCCTAACCTCGACGAAGTAGTGACGAGGTAAGGCAAGGCACCTACAAATCAACCTGTATAGTTTAACAATGTATATACAAATAACAGTAATGAATAATTAGACAGGAGATATCAGGAGGGGGAAACATGCTGGGGGAAATACGAGATAAAGAACTACAACAGAATGATAACTGGAACAACCAATATATTATGAATCAAAAGGAACACGAATACAGTAAAGAAAAAATACACGGCATCACCCTTCGTGCTTTTACTCTCAGTCTCACCATAAATCAATAGAAACGGCACGACATCACCCTTCGTGCATTAACTCTCATATCATGGCACGACATCACCCTTCGTGCATTAACACTCGCAATATGGCACGACATCACCCTTTATGCTTTTACACTCACAATATGGCATGGAATCACCCTTCGTGCTTTTATACTCACAATATGGCACGACATCACCCTTCGTGCATTAACACTCTCCCTTACCATAATGAAATGCATAAGTAACAACAGAGAGATAGAATATAAGTACAAGCCTTACTTCAACATTTGGTTCCACTATATCAATCTCAACTTTGAAATAAATACTCAATTATCACTAGAAAATCCGTAAACATGATAAGAACGATCAATTTAGCAATACTGGGATAAACACGTAGCAATTAGGCAAAGGAAAGAGACAATATAAGAGAAACGGAAGAAAACATGAAAAACAGGTAAATTGGCTGCGCATAAGTACTTGTCACCTCACATATTCGCCGCTCACATGAATTTCACATAGCAAATAGTGTAAGGTTCCTAATTTCCTTAAGCCAGGGTTAGACACAACACTTACCTTGCTCCGAAGGCCACTTAATTCTCAATCACAACTTTTCCTCTAGAATTCACCTCCAAACCACTCGTATCTATTCAAAAATGACTCAATAATATCAAATATTGCTAAAGAAATCAATTACATTGCATAAAATAAATTTCGCAAATTTTCCTCCAAAAAAGTCGAAAATCGATCCTGGGCCCGCTTGGTCAAAACCTGAGGTTCGGACCAAAATCTATTTACCCATTCACCCCCGAGCCCAGATATATAATTGGTTTTGGAATCCGACCTCAAATTGAGGTCTAAATCCCCAAATTTCCGAAATCCCTAGTTTCTACCCAAACCCCAAATTCTACCATGAAAACTCTAGATTTTAGGTTGATAATTCATGAAATGTAATGGGTAATTGAAAGAAAAAGGGTTTAGAATTACTTACTAACAATTTGGGGAAGAAAATGACTCTTGAAAATCGCCTCGCACCGTTTGGTTTTTGAGAAAATGATTTTTTTTGGCTAAATCCCGTGTTTGGATTATGTTAAATGCTGGGCGACAATGTTTATCACGATCGCGTGAACATTGTCGCGTTCGCGAAGAGCAGCCTCCTAAGGACTTACGCGATCGCGGATGTCTCTATGCGTTTGCGAAGGTTTAGCCCGCCTTACCTTCGCGTTCGCGTGAAAGGGCTCGCGTCTGTATAGTGCTTTCCCAGGTCCCCTGCCCAGCCTAGCTAAAGCTATGCGTTCGCGTTTGACATGTCGTGTTCGCGTAGAGTAACTCCTCCTAATGCTCTGCGTTCGCGACCATGGTCTCGCGTTCGCGTAGAGCAAATCCTCCCCCAGCCTAGGTTCCCCTTCGCGATTGCAAGAGCGACTACGCGATAGCGAAGCACAGCATATCAGATACCAGATACAGCAGAAACACCAAATTTTCTTAAGTCTAAAACATCTCGTAGCCTATCCGAAACTCACCCGAGCCCTCGGGGCTCCAAACCAAACATGCGCACAAGTCTAAAAACATCGTACGAACTTGCTCGCACGATCAAATTGCCAAAATAACACCTAGAACTACGAATTTAGCATCAAATCAAATGCAATTCTCAAGAACACTTTAAAATTTCTATCTTCACAACCGGACGTCCGAATCACGTCAAACCAATTCCGTTTCTCACCAAATTTCACAGACAAGTCTTAAATACTATAATGAACCTGTACCGGGCTTCANTTATTTTCTCAACTGGACGTCCGAATCACGTCAAATCAATTCCGTTTATCACCAAAATATGGACCCGATACTAACAATGCCAAACATCAATCAATTCTTAAAAATAAATAATTTTCAGACTTATAATTTTCATAAATAATTCATAACTCGAGCTAAGGACCTCTGAATTCGATTCCGGACATACGTCCAGGTCCCATAATTCGATACGGACCCATCTGGACCGTCAAAATATGGATCCGGGCCCATTTACCAAAAATATTGACCGAAGTCAACTAAAATCAACTTTTAAGGTAAAATTCTTATTTTCATCAATTTTCAACATAACAGTTTTCCGAAAACACGCCCGAATTGTGCACGCAAATTGAGAAGGGTGAAAATGAGATTTTTAAGGCTTAAGTACGCAGAATCGAGTTCTAAAACATAAGATCACCTTTTGGGTCATCACATTTATTAACTAGTTTTGGAGCGATGGGCATCAGTTTGAGCTGTTAGAAAGGCTTTGGAACCGGTTATGGAATTTTGGAGTGAGGTAAGTCTCTTTTCTAACCTTGTAAGAGGAAATTAACCCCACATGCGAATTAAATTAAAATGTGCTTCTATTTATGGGGGCTACGTAAGCACGAGGTGACGAGAATCCGTACGTAGCTACTAATTATGCTATTGTTCGGGTAGTCTAGGACCCATACCATGCTATACTTACAATGTTTATACCCTACTTGTTAATTTAATTGCTTAAATCATATTGAAACTTGATAAAGGAATTGTTAAAGGTTAAACTTCATTTTATTGACCGTTAATGAGAATTTGGTATTTTCTTGAATAATTACCCCTTAATAAATCTTGAATTGGTTGTTGTAAATGTATTTTCTCTTTTGTGGAGCGGGCCGAACGCCTCAGTAGAAGATAGATGCATCTATGGTTCGTGCCGTTCGACCCTCGGTAGTGCACAATTTAAATATTATGTTGGATCGGGCCGTACGACCTCAACATAATTTGCGCATGATAAATCTTTGGAACTAATTATAATTGATATTGTTTCTTTGGCTTGAGATATAAATTGTTAAATGACGAGAATAAATTTGGAAAAATTTCCTATTAGTAAAAGAATTGTCCACTCACTTCTTGTTATTGAGTTTACAGTTTTTTCATACAATCCATGCTTAAGTATAATATCAGTATTTATTGTTAGTCCATAGTAAGTGTCGGAGTCGACCCCTCGTCACTACTTCTTCGAGGTTAGACTAGATACTTACTGGGTACGCATTGCTTTACGTACTCATACTACATTTGGTGCACATTTTTGTGCAGGTGCATATATGTCTAGCAGACTAATGGGCATGAAGGCGCAACTATTTCGGGGACTTAGGTGAGCTGCATCCCATGTTGCAAATTCGCAGCACACCGAGTCTCCATCAGAGTTATCTACCCTCTCCTGTCTAATTGTACTTCCAGACAGATTTTGTATTTCTAATATATTTCCTAGTTGATGCTCATGTACTTGTGATACCAGATTTTGGGGGTGATTATGGGTTGTTCAGTATTGTAGTTATGAAAATACTATCATTTACTTTGTAAAGTCTATATCTTACTATTTAATTGAAGGAAATTATGATTTCAAAAATACTGAAATGAGTAATTAAGTTAATCAATGATTATTGGCTGTCCTGGCAGCGGTGTTAGGCGCCATCACGACCTCTAATAGAATTTGGGTCGTGACAATAAACTACCCACGATTTTATATGAAGACAATGCAACATACATAGCCCAATTAAAGAGAGAATTCATAAAAGGAGATAGGACAAAGTACAATTCACCAAAATTATTTTTCACACATGATTTTCAAAAGAATAGTGATATCAATGCGCAACAAATTCGTTCAAGTGATAATATGGCTGATTTGTTCACCAAATCTCTACCGACATCAACCTTAAAGAAATTAGTGTACAAGATTGGACTGCGAAGGCTCAAGGATGTGAATTGATGCTCTTATCAGGAGGAGTTAATACCGTTGTGCTCTTTTTTCCTTACAAAGTTTTTTCCCACTAGATTTTCCTTGCAAGATTTTTAACGAGGCAACCAAAAGGCGTATTTCTAAACATGTGTGCTCTTTTTACTTCTCTAGAATTTTTTTTCCACTGTGTTTTATTTTAGTTAAGGTTTTAACGAGACACATTATCTGTTGAATGGACATTCAAAGTGGAGTGTTATAAATAGAATTGTACTTAGAGAGATTTTAGGGATTATTACTTGGTGGCTAAGTCACTCTTTCCCTATAAATAAAGGAGTTCTATTCAATTATAAATCATCCCAAATCAGTAAGAATTTTCTCTCTGTACTTTTATTTGCAATACTCTTCTTCTTCTTTTATTGTTTTAAATATATTATAAGACTATTTTAAACCACGTTCAAACATAAGGGACTATTTTGTATTTTTCACATTTCTCACGTAAGTTCAGACTTTGGACCAAATACTTTGGTGTGGTGCTAAAACCAAGAACTTGCCATTTTCTCCCCAAAATCACTCACCCGCTGGCGGCTGGACTGCTGCAAATTCCTAAGGGCATCATTTACAAGCCTCCGGTGATATCATTTCCCGGCAGCTTCAGGAAACCCTAATAATGGCTTCCCCTATACCGCCACCAAGCTCCGCCGCTTCCGGCGGATTCCAAAACCCTAACAAGTCATTAAGCTTCTTTGCAAACGCAATGAAGAGAAAAGACAGTTTCATACAGTTCTTCGCTATGACTGGAATCCTTCTATTGAGCGTTCGATCACTCGGGCAAAAGTATCGGATACATGATCTCATGGAGGATAATGCTGCGCTGGAGGAAGAACAACAAGGACTAGTTCAGCGAATGCATCATATCAGGCAAAGCTTGCTTGCTGAAGCTGCTCTTGACCCCACTGGCCGCTTGGCTTCACGCCTTCGCCGCCTTTTCGGTGAAGACGGTTGAAGATTTTGAGTCTTGTTCTATGTAAGTGTTATTCCCTTACATTATTGGTTCAGTGTTAATGCCATTAGGAATTTAGGATTTTTTTGGAGACTTAGATCTTTTTGAAATGAAATGGGCCCAAATAAGGCGGATAATTTTTTGATTAATAAAATAATTGAACATTCCTATCCTAATGGAAAAGAATGGATAGAAAAGAAAATCAGTGTTTATTTTGTTGTTTGGTCTGTGACTTTCCATGCTAAGCGTTAATTAGTGTGACTTGATTTGTATGCTATTGGATAGTGTGTGGTCTGTGACTTTACCTGATTCCTTAGAGTCTGTGGATTGTGTAAAGATGATTCTTTGAATGTTTCGGTATACAAATAATACCATTGTAAATCAGGACTTTCATGGAGATAAGTGAGATCTGAATCATACATGTGTTTGTTGTGTGTATTTTATCTTTTTGGGGAGTTTACAAGTGTATTGAGCAAAATAACTATAAGAATGAAATCAGAAAGTAAAAGACTTGATTAGGTGGACATTTTGCACAATTCCAGAGCTTCTGAAAGGATAATAAGTTAGCTATGCTTTGTTATAATTCATCTGGGCATCCTTGCTCAGCTGATCATGTTTCAATCACAAATGTCTCTTCCTTGATACACTTATGGTCCACTTTCTTTTTGGTGGCTGTCTTAGATGTTTGTGTTGTTTTGAAGTCTCCATCATTAGATACGAGCTCCTAAGGGTTGCTGGTTAAGTTTTGTTAGAAGATTGATTCCTTTTGTTAGCTTTTATCGATTTTCATACTTAAATGGTGTATTTATGGGTAATTGATATTCCAAATTTTGTAAAATTGGGTAAGTGTAGGTCCGCACTCTGCTCATCAATCTGTTTTGTTTAGACATGCTAATGGTTTTGATTATCTTTGACTCTAATCCTGCGTCAAAGTTTCAGATTAGGAGAACAATAAATAAGATGTCTGTGTGAAAGATGCCTTTGAGACAATTGTTAATGAGGCTTCCTGTAACTTTATGCTGACTAAATGCAGTAGAAAAGGCATAAATACAGTGATTTTTCCTGTCAGGCTAATTGGTGGACTTGATTCAAATTTGTTGTGATGTAAGAAGCTCAGTCTCTCTCTATCTCTCTTACTGGGATAAATATGTAGAAGTGTTGTACTGCCTGCCAGCATTTCATTTCGAATTGAATGTCTTTCAAATAAACTTTTTTCCCCTTAATAATAGAAGTCTGATCGAATCATTTCACGGACATCCTGCTTGTTGTTTATATCCAATTGTTCTTTTTCTTTTCCAAATTTCTTATACTTACTTTTCCAGTTTCTTAATGCCTCCCATCTCTATTTGTACTCCTCCATTTATGTGACAGGATTGTGTACTAGTATCAGTGTTAGCATTGTCATAATATGAAGATTCCACACATTTTGGAACATCAACAACAACAACAAACCTAGTATAATCCCATAAGTCGGTGGGGAGGGTAGGAGTCCGGAACCAAAAATGCGCTATACCTGAATCTAAAAAGACAGATAGGTATAGCGCTTCTAATATATGCGCTATACCTATTTCAATATTAATAACTTACAACTTGTTTACACTTCCAACGTCTGCGACCTAGATTACACATCCAACATGATCCAAACCACCAAAATTGGGCATATTCCAACTGTTGGTTGGTTCATAACTTGTAAAATTCATATCTGGCCGGTATCCCCTTTGGAAGATATGAGTGTTAGTACAAATATGATACATAAAAAAAAATCATACTACAACAAGGAAAATTGAAATATACCACTAGGTGTGTGAATTATGTAAACTTGGGGAGAAATTATGTCCTCGCTCCTCATTCACCCGTGGAGATAAGTTTAGATCTGGCCAGACTCTTTCAAAGGTAACCTGTTCGGATAAAACTGCTTCAAAAACACCACCAGATGATTGAGCGTTATCCCTATTTTTCGGAACCTCAATATTGTGGGCGTCTTCAGACTTGACATATATTTCCAGCATTTTTATTACAAGAAGTTCCCGGTGTTCATCCGGAGTCCTCAAAAAGTCTTTTAGAGTTTCATCGTCTTCGATGTTAAACTCAGCATAACAAGCAACCCCTTGTGGAGTTAGCGAATATGAATATCTTCCGGTTACTTTAATATTAACCGAATATTTACTCACACTCATTCTTTTACAAATCAAAGATACCAATCTATTGTACTCCAATGTGAGTGGCAACTTAACAATACACTGTGGAGAACAACTATAATGTACTGAGTTATTCTCCCCGACAACCTCCCCCACAGTATAATGCAACTCTAATTTTTTGCTCTTTAGACATTATGGCATAATGCAGAAAAAATTAAGTAAACAAATATTTCGGAATGAGTAAGCAAAATACAAAATATTTCGGATGCTGAAGAATGAAATTTCGGAATGAATTTTTGAAAAAGGAATGCATGTCCTTAAGTAAGCAAATATTCTGTGCGAGGGGTACAATAATTGGTGGGTATAGCGCATAAATTACAAGCGCTATACCCACCAATTATTGTGAGCAATTATTGTGGGTCAGTCAATTAACAGGTATAACGCATGTAGTTCATGCTCTATACCTTAACGGACAAACGTGCCGTTAAGGTATAGCGCATGTATTTCATGCGCTATATATAAAAAGGTCACTAGTTGTTTTTTTCACCTATTTTGGTGCTTTGAGTCCTAAAAGACATCATTCTGGTTCTGGACTCGGAGGGTAGTCTCTAAATTCTGTTCCTGATAATTGAACACCATTATAAGTACATTTAATATGCATTTCTCTATTCCATTCCTGCAAATCTTCAGACCATTCAGGAAGTTGCAGACCTTACCTCTACCTTATGAAGGTAGAGAGGTTGTTTCCGATAGACCCTCAGCTCAAGGAGCAGTGATTTTGGAACATCATACAAAGGAAATCATATTATTACCTGCATCCTACGAATATGTGGCATATTTCCATTTTTAGAATGTTCGAAAACATTTCTGCTGTGGAACTTGCATAAGTTCTAAGGAATCAATCTTATTTAACACTTCATAGTTCTGATAAAAAAGCTTGCATAACAACCTATAGTTGTTATGAAGTTGCAAGTCTCGCAAAGGACATTATGAACATTCTGTTTCTTTTGTCAATGAACTAAACTTTTAGGGGTTTAAATCTGAATAGGGAGAATCCAGATAATATTCTTTGCTGAATCTTGAAAAGTAGCTACAGCTGACTGAGCTAAAATATTTGGTTCTCCAAGTGATGTTTTATATAATGATATGATAGATCTCTATGTTGATATGTGGATAACAATTCAACTTTGGATTTCTTTAATTTTACAAGTTTGTTTTACTCCGTGGAGGCTGAGCGGGATCGGTAAATAAACTGTAAAAGAGCTGGCCGTATAATTATGCTTCTGTCACAATTAAAAGCTTAAATTTTCCAGATTTGTCTTTCTTATTTGAATTTTGTAATTTTTTGAATGCCTTGATACTTCTTTTTTGGTCTGATTGAAAAAGGAAACCAAGGAAACAAATCTTCAATGGATATATAGGAGGCAACTTTGTTTGATGTAAGGTTAAGTGAAGTCCGAGAGATTGCATCAGTTTAGATTATTATCTACAACTCAGGAATATGAAGTTTGAACTTTGAACTTATTAATAATTGTGTAGCATGCCATGTAAATGTGTACAGGGTCTGTAGCTCCACATTCAGTGTTCCTTAATTAGTCCTTCCAGGCTTTGCTCTAAAGTCAGCTTTTGAGGCTGTCGCGCTTTGACTCCATTAATTTTAGCCACTGTTTTTTTTTTCCTGTAAATTATATTGCATATATAAAGCCAAAATTATTTTTTATATATACATAGTATGTTGTATTCCTTTAATTTCTTTGTGTATTTTTTTTTTTTTATATTTTGAATCCTTTAGTAAAAATCTTATGCCGCCACTACTATGGTTATAGCTTGAAGAGCATTAACGTTATATTTTCTTAACTGTTTTTTGGAGCAGATCTGCAAATGTGAGAGAACAAGAAGATGAAAAAGAGGAGAGCATTTGACGGGATTGATTCTTGAGAAAAGGAGTGACAGGATGCAGTGCAATTTCTGGATCACTCCACTGTTTGAAAGCAGCAAATATTTAAGTTCCACATATATAGGGATTAAAAAAAAATCATATGACGGAGTCTACAATTATGGCACATGCACGTAGTTTCCCCTCTCACTTTTCCCTACGCTTATGTGTTCACTGATGCAAATTTTTATTATAAGCTATATTTCTTTGGTATTGCTAATTTTTATTATAAGCTATATTAATAATTTCTATTTTAAAATAAGTATTGATGAAGTATGTTTGAATAATTGGACGACAAAATACATAAGAATGGGTTTGATTTTTCAAAAAAATAAAAAAAGATTTACAGAAAATTGAAAAGGTAAAGTAAATTTTCGATACTGGCTCGTGATGCAACAAAGAAGGATCACGATATGTACAAATTTGAATCTGTACGTAAATAATTCCATTAAATAATTAAGGCTTTGGAAATTTAAAGAAAATTCAAGAGAAAAAGAGTGGTGTGAAATTATAACCTCTAATTAATGATCATTTTTTACATTTTGAAATCTGTTCCAGTGACTACCAAAAGTCTCTCTAATTCAGCTGTGTGTTTATTTTTCAAAAATCACTTCTTCTTTTTTTTGCACTTTAAAGTCATTCAACTTTGTTATTCGTTACCCAAAAATCGTTTTTTTTTGTTTTGTTACACAAAAATTAGTTTACTTTGCTCTAGTTATCATAGTTCAACTAATTATAATTTAGAGTTATGTTTGGTATTGCTAATTTTTATTATAAGCTATATTAATATTTGGTATTGCTAATTTTTGTTTTAAAATAAGTATTGATAAAGTATGTTTGAATAATTGGACTACAAATAGTGGTGTAGCCAAGAATTCCGTCAAGGGTGTTCAAACTTTTAAAAAATCAATTTTTTTTGGTTAATGAATGGTGTGCCAAATTTATAAATCAAACTATGCAATATTTAGCTAAACAATAAATAAACTTTTAATAGAACTATAGCTTTATAAATCAAAATTAAAATAACAAAAAGACAATACTAGAATTTTACTGATAAAAGTAAGCATAAAACCAAAGGAAAGAGAGAGTCGAGAGAATTTGTAGTTTGTAGAGAGATTTTGTTGAAATCTTTTTGTAGAGCTTGACTTTTAAATTATAAATTATTTAAGAAATAGTAACTTTTAGTTAAAAAAATACTTTTAAGATTAGTTATTTATTTCTATACAAATTTTAAGTTTTAAGAGTTATTTTACTAGGAAATGTTTTGATTGAAAAAGGATCAAATAAATCACACACGGTGGTCTCCGTTTAGTGTTGGCGAACAAAATAAGTAGAACTTTGAACCCGTGAATAACATGTCACTTTAAACGCACTGCTGAACTACCTCACTCAACTGTGTTAAGGGTGTTTAAAATATAATATATGTCCATATAGAGTAGTATTTAACTTATTTACACAGTATAATATTTCGGCGAAGGGTATGCGCTTGACCACCCGTGGCATAGGGTGGCTACACCACTGTGTACCAATATTTTTAAATCAAACTACACAACCTTTAGCTAAACAATAAAAATAAATAAATGAATAGAACTATAATTTTATAAATTAAAATAACAAAGAGATAACATGCAACAAACCGACCGGTTATTTTGAATTTTAGCGTCCATTTGGTTGTTTAAGACTTTGAATAGTTTCATATGATGTATTATGACTTGAGTGTATGGCCGATTTAGGTTTTCGAGTGGTTCAGGATTGATTTGGAAGAATGACTCTTGATTTGGAAGATTTAAGTTGACTTTTGAGTAAATGGAGTCGGAACCAGGTTTTGATTATTCCGATAGGTTCGTATGATGATTTTGGACTTATACGTATGTTCAGATTTGCTTTCGAAGGTTCCTAAAAAAATTCGACACTATTTATCGAAAGTTGGCAATTTGAATAACTTAGTAGTTCTTAAGTTTGACTANATATATATATAGTTGAATTGAACTTGTGTGCAAAGTTTGGAAGTAATCCGAAGTGTTCAAGTGTGATTCGGTCACTCTTTTGAAAGAATGAATTAATAACTTAAGAGAAATTCTATTTGGTTTGAGCCTTGATTCTTTGTTATGATATTTCCGTGGGTGTTTTGAGGCTTTGAATAATTTTGGATAATGTATTTGTACTTTTGGTATGATTTGATGGGGTCCCGAGGGGCTCGGGTGTGTTTTGGATCATTGGTTGAGAAACTAGTTAAATTTTTGGAGTTTGACCATGGTCAATATCGGGACAAGATGACCTCTTTTGTGTGTTTGGAGTGTGCAAGAAGGTTCTTAGCGTGATTTATGATTGAAATTCATATATGCTTTGTATCCGGGAGGTTCCGAATGAGTTTTGGGTGCTAAAACGAAGATTTTTTTATTGTTGTTTTTTCTTGATATAAATAATTACTTAAATACCATTTATGTTACTGAAGAAAAACAAAAAGACTCGGGAAGAAGTGACAACCAATTAGCGACGACTCTCATTCCTTCAAATATCTTTTATAATCTTATAACCTTGGATTCATCTTTATTCTTTTTTCAAATTGCATCACGCCTTTTATAGTGAGACTTGTATGATCACTTAGTCTCTAACTATAAATTCTAAGTATATTCTTCTCTTATCTACACAAGACTTTTATTTGCTTTGTGATGTAAGTAATATCTGTCTGATTAAGTGAACGTTATCAATAGCTTCTTATACTACCAAGTTTGGACCCAATACCTTAGCCTTATCATTTTTATTCATCTAATAAGGAAACGATATCGCCACAATATTTCACACAATGCCATCTTAGTGCTCTGACTAAAAGAGATAGTTGTAGGCAAATTTAGCTAAAGGTTGGGAATCATCCCAACTATCTCCAATAGCAAATATTCAAGCTCTCAACATGTCCTCCACGATTTGTATAGTTACACTCGGACCGCCCTTTCGCCTATGGATGGAATATGATACTAAGATCTACTTTTTGAAAAGACTTACAAAAGTGTGAGGTAAACTATGGACATGAGAATCTCGTGAAGTTGGAAAAATTCTTTCTATGTATATTTGCGTATATCTCGCCCCACTATATGTAGTTTTGATCGACAAGAAGTGTGCCCATTGTGTAAACCGGTCTACAATTACCCACATAATGTTATAACTTATATGCATTCAGGGTAGCCCATTCACAAAGTACATGGTAACTCTTTTCTTTTCTACTCTAGGACTCTGGTTGTTGTAGTAGGCCCAAGGGTCATCGACGTTTAACCTTGTCCCGTTGATAAGTTAAACAAATAGAAACCAAGCTAGCCACAAAAAAAATTATTCCTTCCCACCAATATAATTTCTTTAGGTCATGGTGCATATACGTGTATCTAAAGTCTTGGGCTTCATCAAAAATATATAATGCATCTCAACTTATCTACATTTGCTAAACATAATCTATTACCTAGTCCGAAAAAATGCCCTCACTGCCATAGTCATATCCTTGATTTTACCAGCTAGGACATCATCTTAGTATTTGCACAATCACTTATCCTAGTATTGACTAGCCTTTATGCACTTTATATTTGGCTTAACCAATAAACAATAATTTTTTTAATTTTTCTCATTAAATCTAATACGTATACCTTCTAGTATATGCATATCTTAGTCCAGAAGTCTCCTTACAGGAGCTATATGCGTCAAACGACCCATTTGTTTTTCTTAATGTATAAGCCATAATATTTGCCTTTTCGAACAATAAAAATAGTACAGTTATATCTTTAGTAGTTCCTTCCATCGACATTACTAAATACTTATATCTCTGCTGGCTCTTGTGCTATGTATAATCTCATAGGTTTCTTCGTATAAGTAGTATCTCAAAATCCTAATAGCAAATACACTGTGGCCATCTCCAAATCACGAGTAACATAGTCTATCTTGAGCTTCTTCAATTTCCTTGAACCATAAGCTATCACATGATCATTCTGCATGAGAAATATCCTAATCTTACCCTCGAGACATTACATAACATCGTGAACTAGAGCCTAATGGAATAAGGCTAATATTGGTGCAATTGTCAAACATACCTTGGACTTCTGGAAACTCGACTTAAATTCCTCGATCCACTAAAATTTAGTGTTTTTATATACTAATTTGGTGAGTGGTGGTGCTATTCTAGAAGAATCCTATACAAATGCCTGTAGTTTCCTGTCAAGCAAAAAACATTGGCAATCTATGTAAAAGAAACGAGTCTCGACCATTTATGAATTGCTTTTATCTTCTCAGAATCTACCTTATTTCTATTCTTAGTTACAATGTACCTGACGAACATCACCAAGTCTAGACAAAATTCACACTTGAAGAACTTATCATTAAGTCGATGTTCCTACCATATTTGCAACATATTTCTTAGGTGAACTTCATGCGCTTCTTGGATACAAGAATATACCAGAATTTCATTACTAAACATATTAACAAATACGTCGGAAAATGACTTGAACAACCTATTCATTAAATCCATGAATGCAGCTGAATCATTGATCAGTCCAAAAGGTATTATAAGAAACTCATAGTGCTCGTACTAAATTTTTGAAAGTCATCTAAGGAATATATTCGTCTCTAAATCTAATTGGTGATAACAAGACCGAGGATCGATCTTCGAAAAATGGTAGTTTCCTGTAACTAATGAAATAGGCCATCTATATGGGAAAAATATATTTTTTTGCTTATTGTTACCTTATTCAATTGCTTGTAGTCGATGCACATCGTTAGAGATCTGGCTTTATTTTTTACGAAAATATCAGTGCATCCAAAGGTGATATGCTTGGTTTGATAAAATCCTTATCAATAGGTCATGCAACTTCTTATTTAGTTCACTTTGCTTCGCAAGTTTCATATAATATGTGGGTATTGATATAAATTGTGTCTAGTG